GGCAATTCTCCTGCCTCAGCATCCCGAGTAGCTGGGATTACAGGCACGCGCCACCATGCCCAGCTAATGTTTTGTATTTTTAGTAGAGACGGGGTTTCACCATGTTGACCAGGATAGTCTCGATCTCTTGACCTCTTGATCCACCCACCTCGGCCTCCCAAAGTGCTGGGATTACAGGCTTGAGCCACCGCGCCCGGCTAAACTCCCTGTTTAATGAAAATCTCTTTAAGAGCAAAGACCATTTTTTTAAGTATCTTTGTAGCCCTTTTGACAATTAACACTACTTCTGATTTTTATTTTAAGAGAAACCTAGAAGGAACAGCAAGTCGTGCAGGGATATCTGAAAACCTCAGATATCCCTAGGTTACCATGCTAAATGTCACCTATTGGAAGTCCAGGAGGATGGACCTACGGTTTTTAAACAATCTGGATAGGAGGTAAGGAGGAAATGACTCAAAGTGAGGGTGACAAAAGGCAGTTGCCTCCGTATTTCACACCTCAGTGTTTTACACATGGTCCCTAGCAAAGGACCTTAAACAGGAAGTCAGAATAATTGGATTCCAGTGTCAACTATGCCATTTACTTGCTTAGTGCCTAACCATTACCCTCTAAGCCTTTATTCGTCTGTTCAATGAGAGGCTCCTACCAGAAGATCTCCAAGTCTCCTCCTTAGACATCTCGTTTCTACAGATTAACCTGTCCAGGAACCCAATTCCCTGACAAGTCTTCAAAGCTTCATCCCAAGCCTCACTTCTTCAAATTCCATGTCCAACAACTCTAGCTCTGCCTGCTCTGGGCTACTTTAGCACCTGCGATCCTTATAATCAAAGCTAAGTCACAAACTGCCTGTCCCCATAGCTCCATAATTGATATGAAAGTAGCGTCGGGAGGGGCAATGCAATCTACTCGGGCAGAAGCTGGGCTTCCTCCTGTTGCTGCTCCACATCAGATGTGCCCAATGTTTCATCGCAGGACAGTGTCCCTAAGGTTGCAGCCTGACTCCCCGCCCGCCCGGGTTCCCTCCTTTCCAGTACCCAACGCTTCTCTAAAACGCAGCCATAACTCTTCTCACCCAGCAACTCGAGGTTCATCCCTGCGGACTGTGGCCGCCCGGTCTTAGCTCCGGCAACAACGCCTTCTCCCCGGCCGGCTTCAGCAACTTGCGTCTAAGTGGTGGGCGCCGCGAGAAGCCTGGCGCAAGCTCCGGAGACTTTCGGACTTAGAAGGCCCCGCGGCTTCCGCTTTCTTCCCCCGCCTTCCTTGTTCGTTTTGGGTGGGCTGCCCAAATATATGCCTGACAAAGAGCAAGTGTAAACTCCTTCGGAAACAATTAATTATGATCTTTGCTGGGGTACAAAAATGTTATTGTCACTAGTGACTTTAAATAGCGAGAGAATTTAAGGCTATTTGCTCCGAGAACATGTAGGTGAGCTAGAAATTCCAGGCATACGGTTAACCTACTCACCAGCCCCTGCTGTGTTGTGTGTTCAGCGGCGTTGTCCGGGCGGGCTACCTCAGACTCAGCAGGAAAGGTTCCGGGCCAGTCCTACTAATGCAGGAAAGCAGGGAGGTCGTCCCCTAGTGCTCGGGCGTATAGCGCCGCTGACTTCATCAAGGCGCGTACTTACCCTGTGTGTAGGAAGCGTTGCAGGGTGTTTCAGTCTCGTGAAAATTATTTCTCATTTCTAAAGATATGCCATTGATCCTACCGAAAGGTACGATAACATATGTTAGGCCTGTTTATGTTAGGATAACAAAAACCTTATTATGTAAGGTTTTACCGTTTACCCAGCGTTGACCGGGACGCTGGTGAAAAATAATTCGAATGAGGGGTAGGCTGAGTTTCCCGCAGCTCAGTCATACAGAACTCCGATGAGATACCCAAAGCAATTAGAGAAGTCCAGTTGATGGTATCTAGCGAAAGAGCAAATTTTATATGAACACATTCCTACTATAAATGCTGTGGCTCATCAGAAAACGGAAAGAACGACAGAGGCTCGCTTCAGAAAATAGTACTCGGGCTAGGTCTCCGACAATGGAAAAATACACATACACAAGATTATTAATTGCAGTATTGTCTGTAATTCCAAACTTCTGGAAACAATAATGAAACTTTTGAACAAGGGAGCCCAGCATTTTCATTTTGCGCAAGGCTCTGCAAATTATGTAGCTAGTCCAGTACGCCTCTGTTTGACAAATTTGCAGAAAGAGAAGCCTCATTCACACAGTACACCCTGTCCTCGGGCCCCAATTGATTGCTCTTTCAGTAAGCCCCTGACCTAAGCTGAACCCAATTAAATTCCTTTCCCAAGAATCTGGAATGGGAATTAAGTGGCCCCCACAGTCTGACACATCAATCGAAGAGAATAAGTGTGAATTAATGAGCTATTTATTGGCTCCTAATAATAGATGGACACCATGGAAGTTGGCTGCAGGTTGCAGAAGGAAGCAGAGGTCCAGAAACAAGTCAAAGATAATAGTTTGTGTATCCAATTGTTTCCCAAAAACATGGTACATTAATGTCTTCTCTTTCCATTATCCTTGGACTTTTATAAAGTATGCCTTTTGCGGCCTGGCGCGGTGGCTCACGCCTGTAATCCCTTGGCCCCCCAAAGTGCTGGGATTACAGGCGTGAACCACTGTGCCTGGCCCTGAAAGTTTTTTTTAGCCTGGTGAAAATACACTTTGGCATAAATACTAAAAATACAAAAATACTACAAAAAACACAAAAATTAGCCAGGCATGGTGGTGCATGCTGTAATCTCAGCTACTCAGGAGGCTGAGACAGGAGAATCGCTTGAACTGGGAAGGCGAAGGTTTCGGTGAGCCAAGATCATGCCACTGCACTCCAGCCTGGGAGACAAGAGCGAAACTCCATCTCAAATAAATAAATTAAATAAATAAATAAACTGTTTTACAACTTGTCCAATGAAGCAAGTATTAATACTTTTATCACTAAACCAGAAAACATGCACTGAAAATGACAATTGAATAAAATTCTTCTAGGAAGGTTTAAATGACCTATCAGGTAGCAGAAATGTACTTGAAGTTGTGTTCATCTTCCCAGGATTATGGGTTTGACAAGCCAAACATTGGTAATAAACTCTTAGTAATTTAGAACAGTCATCACACACACCCACTCACACACATACATACACACACATTTAATTTGGAACATTTTATCTCTTCCATGACTCATGGAAAGCTTAATAATGGAAGCTTTAAGGAATTCTCCCACCTCAGCCTCCCAAGTAGTTGGGACTACAGACATGCACCGCTATGCCCTGCTAATTTTTGTAATTTTTGTAAAGACAGGATTTCCCCATGTTGCCCAGGTAGACATCAACCTCTTGGACTCAAGAAATCTGCCTGCCTTGGCCTCTGAAAGTACTGGGATTACAGGAATGGGGCACTGCACCTGGCCTTCAATTAATTCTTGTCCTGTTTGGGTTAGCAATTTTATAAACCAGTCATTCATTTTGTTAGAGTTCTGTTGTGAGAATTCTTACCTAATCCAAATGATATGATCCTAAGGGTTATCAGAAAGCTGTAGGCAGCTTTTTCTCAAGATCATGGATCAAGATTTACTATCATGAGACTCTTATCTCTCAAATTTTTTGCTTATGCCTGTATGACAATAGAACTGAAAAAGAGATCTCATGTGTGTACTCATGGGGTATGCTTTTATTTGTAGAGGATTTTGCAGCCATTCTTATACTTGGACAATATTACACTTTGATAGATAGAAGATAAAAGGCCAGTGTCAGAGGAAAAAGAAAATTCTCAGAAGCACTTTATTAAGCCCTTAATTTATCCTTTTTTTTTTTTTTTTTTTGAGACAGTGTCTGACTCTGTCACCCAGGTTGGAGTGCAGTGGTGCTACCATGGCTCGCCACAGCCTCTCCCTCCTGGGCTCTGGCCATACTTCCACCTCAGCCTCCCAAGTAGCTGAGACTACAGGCATGTACCACCATGTCTGGCTAATTTTTGTATCTTTTGTAGAGACAGGGTTTCATTATGCTGCCTACGCTAGTCTCAAACTCCTGGACTCAAGCTATCTGCCCGCCTTGGCCTCCCAGAGTGCTAGGATTACAGGCATGAGCCACTGCACCTGGCCTTAATTTATCTTTAGCACCAGGATACACTAAACTTTCTGGAGCTAGAACAAAAGACGTTTAGCTAGGAGGGAAAGGAAAATGGGAATACCGTGAGCTTCTCTCCAATTCATTAATATCTTAAGGGAATGCCTAATCCATTCTTTGAACATGAGCTTCTTGAAGGCAAGGAGCCTACTCTGTTTTGTTTCCAGTGTTGTAGATTAGTGCTTGGCACACTGTACACGCTCAATAAATAATTGTTGATTGGCTGGGTGTGGTGGCTCACACTTGTAATCCCAGCACTTTGGGAGGCCGAGGCAGGCGAAACACAAGGTCAGTAGTTTGAGACCAGCCTGGCCAACATGATGAAACCCAGTCTCTACTAAAAATACAAAAAATTAGCTGGGTATAGTGGTGGGCACCTGTAATCCCAGCTACTCGGGAGGCTGAGCCAGGAGAATAGTTTGAACCCTGGAGGCAGAAGTTGCAGTGAGCAGAGATGGCGGCACTGCACTCCAGCCCTGGTGAAAAGAGCAAGGCTCTGTCTCAAAAATAATAATAACAATAATAATTGTTGATCAATAAATAACCACAGGAACTTTTGAACTATATAATTCATTCTCTTCCTAGGCTTTCTTTTATTACTTTCTCTTATTATCTAAAAACAGTACACAACCTTGAAACTAGTTAACTGTGCATTTTATAAGTGATAAAGACAAAATACCTAGCATATTCAAAGCCACGTATTAGCTTATATTAATTGCAATCCAAATTTGCACACTGAGTTTAACTCAACAATCCAGTTAACCAAAACGGATCAAAAGCTGATCCGGGGAAGGCAGAGGAAAATGAAATTCAGATAGGTCCTATCCTTATTTTAAATTTTTATTTTTTTTCATCATTGCTTCTTTTGGGCCTTAATTCTGACTTTTAAAAATACTGAGTTTTGCCGGGCGCGGTGGCTCACGCCTGTAATC